GTCCCCGGGCAATTTTTTTTTCAACTTCAACCTCGGGCGATTCTCTGCCCTCTCCCGGCCAACACCGCGCCCCGCCCCCGCCCTTTGCACCCAGCGGGCGCTCCTCTCGCGCGTTGACTCTCACTACCCCCCTCTCTCTCTCTCTCTCTCTCCGCCGGTGGCCATATACAGAACGCTGGACAAACAACAATAAATACATTTTCCCAAGCGGGGTGGCAAACCCGGTGAGGGGTGGAACTTCCATGCGAGCACGTACGGGCATAGCTTAGCGTAATCTGACTGCACACCACCCCATTTCAGCCACCAACCCTCCGCGTCACGACGTACGCAAACCCCGTTACCCCTGCCCCCTATGCTCCAGAAGACTGCGGCCACCCTCTCGTGCCGGAGGAGAGGAACCACCGGTGCAGGGGAGGCGAGAGATGGAGAGATAGCGGCAGAGATAGCGGGACAGAGAGCCGGTGGTAAAAAGGGGTTAGGAAAAAAAGCGGAAGAAGAACAAGGAAGAATACGGCAGCGGCGGAAGGAAAGGAAGAAAGACCGAGCAACGAGAACGCGAAGCGACGGGGAAGGAGGAGGTGGATGGCATTGCCACCTGACGAAAGAATGCCGCGACCTGACTAGAATTTCATTAACCGCGGTCTGGCCAGAAGGGGACGGGAAATATGAAGAGAAAAAGAGTGGAGACGCGGCGAGCGCGTTTATCGGCGCGAAAGAACTTGTTAAACAGACCGTTTGTCCGTTCCGTCGTTTCCGTTGTCCTTAAACGGCCCTTGGGCAAAAAATTATCCGGAAGGATGACTGCCTGGAGACTGCCCACTGTTTCTCGCCGTGCTCGAAACCCTGTCGTCGCCGACGTCGATTTTGCCGGTAAACCGGGTCCGTCCCGGCGTCCATCTTGGATCACCGGTTACGAGAGTGCGACAGTTAGTCGGTTCTTTTGTCTCGTTTCATTAAATCCCGGATAGTTTGGACGATCTTGCGCCAGCGTGGGGTGTTTTTCGTCGGTCGTTGGAAACAGAGGAAAAGTTCAAGCGGCGTTCTCAGCGCCGCTGTGTTTTCGGTCGACACCGACCGTTCGGAATGCTAATGCGTGATTACGCCGCGGCCACGGTCGTAATACGTGGACTTTTTGTGCGACTCACGTGTGCCACGGCCCGCTTAAAACATCCCTTAAATTACCCCCATTAGCAAGGGCTGAATGCCGGGTAAACGAGGATTTCACTGGCGCTGTTACGCGAGATTTATTCCGTAGGAAATATTCCTTTGGCCCGTTAAATTACATCGTTACGGACCGCTCCTCCCTTCCTGGCCACCAGCATGCGAGTTGACCTAAACGCGCGTGTAAGCCGATTTGCCGACGGTATCGTGCAAAAGTTAAAAGCTCGCGCAGCCACGCAACGGTCGAATTAAAATTGTTCCATTCGCTCAAAGGCGTAGACTCGGATCATCGCGCGAGTCTTCCGCCGGAAGAAAAATACGCGACAAATCTGAATCGTAAGATTCGAGAGTGCAGGTTTCCGGGCCAGGGCCGTCTCGAGGCTCGCGAGCCCGTGTCTTTATCAGAGGGACTCCTTTAATTTCTCGGAAACGAGTAACGGTGCCCGGTGTCCGTTAAACGGGCGGAGCAAGGGGAACATTCGGGACGATTTACAGAATTTAAACAGTCTCCAGGGATAAGGCGGTAGCGTGGCAGGTCGGATTAGCAGGCTGCCGCCGTCGAAATAATTCCCCCTCTTGCCTTCGCCTGGCCACCCCCTTCAACCTCCGGGGGTGGTTACGTCCTTCCTGCGGGATAAAACAAAACAGCCAGCGGAGTATATTAATGCTCGGCTTAATGTGGCCCGCCTAATTAATGGACCGACTCACCGGATGCCCGTGCTCTCGTCCTAAAAGTAAAAGATAACGCTTCCGCGGGAGCATTATTAAAGACAAAAGCGTTCGTGCCGGGCGAAAGCCGCTTGGAAATTTTTCAAACGAGTCCGTGCACTCAGGTAGACGGCACCCTGCATCGTCCAAAAGGCGTCTCGCGTGAGAACATCCTGCGGTTCGGGTGGTATATATCGCGGTGTTTACGCGCGCGTGAAGGAAGCGCGGAAAATTTTGTTTTTCCGCTCAAGAGATCCCAGGGGTGGTGCTCTGGGAGTGTCACGGATGCTGCGAGGGCGGAGCCTTGAGAACTGCATCGAGACTGCCCAGTTACGTCGATAAATAGAGAGACCTCCTTTCCACGGCTTTCGTTTCGCGGAAAATCTTTCGCGTGTCTTCCTCTCGCGCACTCTCTCTTCACCTCTCTCTCCCTCTCTCTCTCTCTCTCTCTCTCTCTCTCTCTCTTTCTGGTTCTCTTTTCGCGATCATCGTCTCGCGTCGTGGTTCTCGTTTCGCTGCGTAATGTTTAACGCGACGTCACGCTACGTCGTCGTGTACGCATAAGACGCGAATAAAATTCGTTGCATACGCAGACAATCGCGCCGAAGAGGCGAAATAAATGCTAATAACGATACGAACGGTAGCTGAAAGTCATTGGACAAAGGCAGAAAAAGCGAACGCTCGAGCGGTAAACACAGATTACACGGAAGTAATTTAATTACATTCAGGAAGATGGTTAACCAAGAAGATCTGCCAATTGGAGGACATGTTGGCGGTTGTCGAACATGTACGAGATAATCGAATTATCGTCGCTTTGAGGAGCAGCGTCCGTGGATGATCTGATCACGTACCTGATGAACAGATCGCCAGCGATGCGAGCCGCTTTCGAAGGGAAAGCTCTCGTTATGGACCCTTCACGGTTACGTTCCAACGAACCGTTACCACTGTGCTCCGTTGGCTTGCCGACGATAGTAACTTCTACCGAGTAATTAAAGCCACGCGAAGCACGAAAAGGCAGCGGCGCGATATTGGTGAATAACTGACGTTAATGTTACAAGCGCGATCGCGACCGCATCCGCGATAAAGTTGCATCTAAATTGCTAATTAAATGCCGCTACGCTTTCGGGGCACGCGTTTATCTATCGCGGTGCTTAGCGCGGCGCGCAGTTTCTTTGCCGGCGGACAAGCGTTTCGGACGCGTCGCGACGACCACGGCACGCAACGAAAATTGCGGAACAAAGTGGAAATTGACCGACCACATAGAGTCGGCAAAGGTTTTCGAGGTCGTCGCTGGTATTCAGGTTGGCCCCCGCAGGAATTTCCGCGGTCGAATTCCTCTATGCCTAGCCGGCAAATACTTTTGTAGAATAAACGTTCGAGGTCTCGAGTCTCAAAGGAAACGACGGCTCTCGTCGCCGAAATCCGCAGACCGTGCTCGCGTTTCCGTCATTTGCCTAAAGAAACGTGCCTGTTCCCTCGGATACGAAATCCGGAAGGAAATCGGTCGTTGGAATTATAAACGCGCGAAGGATTCGCACGCGTGACGCTCGATACGCGTGCACGGGGAACGAACGTGCTCGGCACTCTCGTACTTTTCCGCCGGCATATTAACGATGACTTTAATCAACCCGTAATAACAATAAAATATATTAACGTCCGATATAAATTCAACGTGGATAGCATTCGATCGCTTGCCGATTATTATGTGGGCAACTTTGCGCGCATTCGAATTTAATAGTTTGCATAATTTACCTGGCTAGTTAGTTATTCCATTAATCACTACACTTATAGGAGTATAAGGTTACGCATAATAATTGTACCATTATTTAGATCATATTCGATGTATCGATAACTGAACCGACACGCAACGAATTCGACGTGATTAATTAACTCGGCCCCGATGTAGCCAACGTGTTTGAGATTTCGACTGGTCCGGAACGGTAGCGGAAAACCAGAAGACGAGACGAGCGTTTCGCTTCGCGTTGCTCGCGCGAGTAATATCTCGACTATGACGCGCGGCGGAAAAAAATGGCAGAGCAAAGTGCGGCCGGCCGGTGGGTTGTAGAAAGATCGAGGGGGTAATATCGTTCTAAACGCATGAGTTTCAAATATTTCAGTCTTTATTAATTAACGTATCAAAGGCACGGTATTAATATTTGCTTCGGAGTCTCAACCGCATAGAAGATATTAACGTCCCTGTAATATTGTGTCCAGGCTAGAGGGAGAGGACATATTGAAACCGCACAAACTTTGCTCATAGCATCCACGGGGTACTCGTAAATATACAGGGTGGCTGAGATCGAACGTTCCCGTGGACGTAGACGGAATTTAACTTTCTAATCGACGCAGGATATAGGAAAAACCGGGGATAGAGTACTGAAAGAAAAAGGAAAAATGGCGTCTACGTGAAATACGTGGAATACCGCGGTGCGGGATGCACCGATCGAACGTATTTGCACCCTTTATCTGCGACTTACTGTCCGGAAAACCGGCAATATTTTCGCGTTTCAATAACCGTGAACGGCCGACGAAATAAAATAGAACGGGAGAAGGCGAACGGTGGGGATTAAATAAACGTTAAACCCCGAAATTTCGTTTAAACGGCACACAGGGGTGGATTATACATACGTCTTCGGGCGAAAACAATTAATGTTTATCGGGAAGCTGCGTGCAGCCGTTACCCGACAAGCCGGTGTGGTTGTTTCAGAAGCGGTGCCGCTTAAACGCGCAATAAGTGGAGAGAAGAGAGGGTCAAACTAATTCGATTCTAAACTCTGACCGCATCGCGCGAGAAAGAGGCGAGCAGGGGCGGCCAGAGAAGGACCGGCCCCGGCGCCACCACCCGATGGACACAGATGGCACTAAACGCGCCCGTTAAATTCTCAACCTGTAACTCTAATTGCTCATAGACGGGCCGACGTCCTAGTGCCAGATGCCGTTGAAACTTGTTAAAAGCACGCAAACGCGATTACTCATTCGACTCGGCTCGGCGATGATTTACCGCCTTGGCTAATCGACTGCCGATAGAGGCTGAAATTAATTGATCGATTACGCGCGTACGGTAATCGTCGTCCGCGTTAGTTTTCTCGTTCCAAGACTCGGTGATCGATCGAGCTTCTGCTGTGTTGCAGGGAACAGCAGTGACATCGAAAAAACGAATAGAGCAAGGATGGACGTGAGCAAGAGCGAGCCGAGCAAGAACGGGGCAGTGCAAAGGGAATGCGGAGGATGCGGAGAGGTGATCACGGAGAGGTAAATTTTTCTCTTGATTTTTCGAGAATCCGGAGAACTCGGCAAGACTGGCTTTTACCAATTTCAGGTTCCTTTTGAAGGTGTTGGACATGTTCTGGCACGAAGACTGCTTGAAGTGCAGCAGCTGCCACTGCAGACTCGTGGAGGCCGGCCCGTCGCTCTTTATAAAATCCAATCTCATACTGTGCAAGAAGGACTATTTAAAGTAAGCTTCGTCACGCTCTGCCACCTACTTCCCTTTCCCGTTCAACGTATCGGCGAATATATCGGCGAAGGAATCGCAATCCCGTAATATTATAATTCTATTCCGCTCTCGGGCACGTTAACGTTTCGTATTTCATTGTGCCGTGCTGTGCACGGGGACGTCAATAAAGGGCAAAGGGGAAAAGGAGACGTTGAGCACACGTACGGACAGACCTCGACGTGGCGAACGGAAGCAACAAATCGAATTTTACAGATGAGTTTCCCTTATTGAATACATCCACGTCCCATATAAACAGGCGAGGGCAAATAAACCGTGTTGAGATTACAAAGTCCCGAGGGAACACGCGCAGGTGGCGCGTCTGCAAAGAGCGCTCGCTATCGAACCTCCGTGGCCTTTATTAATGGCCCAATATTTGAAGATGGCATATTCGTGGTGGTCGTAAGCTTATTGCTTCTCGTTCTACGCCAACTAAAAGTCTCCCGCCCGGATGATGCCATCGGCGGCCGTGGTAATGTTTTCGCGAGTCGAACCGCGCGATATCGTCGGAGAGGAAAAGGGAAATATTATTGTCGTTGGAGAACGTTCGACTCGGAACGTTCAGTTCCTTCTCAGGATAAGATTAGTAAACACGCCTCTGTTTCCAAATCTGCGCAGGCTGTTCGGACACACGGGACACTGCGCGGCCTGTAACAAAACTATTCCGGCATTCGAGATGGTGATGCGGGCGAGGACGAACGTCTACCACTTGGAGTGTTTCGCGTGTCAGCAATGTAATTACAGGTAAGCGAGTAATTTGATAATCCGCAATCGAGATACACGAATGTGCGAGGATACAACGCGGCAGGCTTGGAATCGAACCCCTGCGGGGACTGCAATTGAAATAGTAATTCGATTACCGGGAATCTGGAAAGAAAGGATCGTCGGAGTTTGAAAAGCGACTGGAGTTAGGGTACGGCGAGAATACCGGTTTAGTTCTAGGCGCGCTAGCGATATTATGTTATTAAATATAACGAGAGGCTGTGATTAAACATTCACACCCGAGGGTGGCGGGAAAGTCACTGGTTTCTGCGAAGTATTCGTCGTGGCAGCTCATCCGTATAACAATTTAATTCGAGCCAACCCGGCCGTGTGCCTGGGGGCTTGGCTAAACTTCTGCAGCACTTCGCAACACTTCGCTTACTTATTCACAACAACCAAGTTAAGCTCGAAGCTCGTTCGAGTCTGTGTTTAAGTCGAAACACCTCCGTGAATCCGGCGGATGAAGATAATCGGCGCAAGAATCGAGAAGCCGTGAGTAAGCGACGTCGCCGGACTGAGCAATAAAGACGGATTAATTACACCCACCCTGTTCCCTTATTTCCCGTTATCCCGTTCCGCGTGAAAAATATTTATCGTCGATCGTTGGAACGAGTGGTCCGATTAAAAATTACGTGTCTCGACTATAACGATTCCCGCCGGGAAACAGCTGTACCTGCGCGTAGCTGTTCGATGAAAACTGAAATTTCTGAAAAATGGATTCGTTATATCACGGTAACGAAGAAGTCGGGTGAAATTTCCGCCCTCTGACGGGTATAATTGACGCGAGGACGGCACGGTGGGGTGTTGAGACATCCAGCAAGAGAGGAGATCCGAGTGGAAAGTCGAGAGTTGCGAACTATGCGAGCGACGTGTAGGTGCCTGGAGGTGTACGTCAGATGCAAATCACGCTGACTAATTTCCCGGAAAACTAACGAATCCCGAGGGCGCGCGCGTGCTCGCGCGCCAAATATCCGCCGTTCGCGAGAGACGTTCGTGCGTAACCGCGTTCCGATAATCCGAAATTAGCAAATTAATTAATTTTCCTGCTGGAATTATTCCTGGAATATTCGACGGCGAACGCTATGCCCGAAATTAACGAGCGCGCATCGATCGCGCGAAAGCTTCGAAAGTAATACGAGGGTGATTCGGCTGGTACTTGTTTGGCCAGCTCGAGCTTCCGAGGGGTTTCACGCGGCATTTCGCCCGGCTAATGTCAGACCGCGACATTTCTCTGACCTTTCCCCCCCCCCCTCCCCCTCCGCGAGCGCTGCTTCCGTCTTGTATTAACGGGGTTCTGTTTGACCGATATCAGCGTGCCGTGCGTCTGGCAACGGATACAAACGAGGTACACGTGAGCAGAGAAAGTTGGCGAGATCGTCGTCGGGATTAATCGAGCGGTCGTTGCTGCTTCAACGAGTTACATGTTCTCTGCTGAATTTAAAATATAATCCACCATTAAAAATAGAATTTTTTTACCGTGTAAGCGACCCCTATCGCGACCGCGGGCCGGGAATAAAAATGAAAGGAAGAAAAAAGAACGGCAGGCATGAAGCCACCGCATGAGCAAAGGTTAGCAGCTCGGCGTGCTCCTACGGCAGCACGTGACTATCGAGCGAAGCCGATTACTGCTTAAAGATATGTCGAAAGTATACTTTCTTTCGTGGTCGAAGGTAACGTGCAACCCTTAAGGCGAACCATTGGTTAGGGGTCGAAGCGGTTGACCGTAGGTAAAGCGGAAACGGATGTGGCCGTTGGGTCACGCGATCTCCACGAGCCGAGCATAAAACACCTGAGTTGTTTAATCATACGCTCCTAAGCTGAGTCGTACATCGTAAACTCGCGAGGGTAGGTATCCTTCTCCTTTCCTCTCTCTCTCGATAGCTCTCTTACACCTACTCGTTTCCCTTCACCGAGATGTACAGTCGGATAACGCTACTCCGTTTATCCATTAACAGGTATGTTCCGTCGAGTTTACCGTGCCAATAAAAGTAACCGATATAATTGTCGGGAAATGCAGGTTTACCCGATGAAACGACTCGATCGTCTTTTTTGTTCCTCTCACTCGACGAGAATACACGTAGAATCTGTCGCTGTATCTTAGTTTCGATTCGTCGAAGAATAAACGTTCCCTTGCTATCGATGCAAACGGACGTAGTACACAGGTACATAGAGAAATAAGTGGCAATTGAACCGGCTTAAACGTCTCGAGCTTTTTCGGCCGACGGTGATGCAACCGACGAAACTTGGAACTCGTCTTTTGTCTACGGAAGCACAACGGGTATTGTCGAGCGACTGTACGGCACCTCCCTCGCAGGGCTATAGTCCATTGTTCGTGCTTATATTGTATTTAGGCATTACGAGTCAGGCTGGTATAATTGTTATTGTTCCGGGGCGCTTATCGAACACGCTGCTCTGCTGCATTCCCACGCGAGTCATCGCCTGGCCTCGTAATTACTCGAAAATCATTAAACTTCCACGGGCGCGTACGAAACGCGCGGCAAGTCACGACGGCGGCCGCCATTAATAGAAACGTTTCCGGCTAATCTCGCGCGCGGCGGTGTACGATGGGATACGGTGTAGCAAGAAATAAACGATAGCGAACGATATATCATACTCGCTCGTTACGACTGTATTTCCGGCAAACGAGAGTCCCCTTATCACGGCCATGTGTGCGTGTGCACGCGCGAAGACGGGCAAGCCTTTCGATGTTCCAGCGAGGAGACGGCCGCGAAGCCGCACAATGCAAACTTAACTTTCGCGTTACGAATTCACGCTCTTTAGGAGGGTTGCAAAGAGAGGCGTAGGTCGGCGGGTAGGTAGGTGGTCGGGTAGAGGAAGGTCGTGCAGAGTGGGAAGAGGCAAGTCGCGTAGAAGGGAGCGGCCATTTTGTTTCCGGTGTCCCGGGAGCACTTCCGGTCACCGTCACGCAGTTCTGCGTCGCGAAGTGCCCTCGAGCTCCTGAGATCTCCTTTCACGATTATATTCAAATTAAATGCGGGAGTCTGACCGGTAATATACTGCCGCCAATTTAGCTACAACCCCCCGGAGGGTGGTTCGCCTTACCTCGTTCGCCGGCCATCCGACTTTAGTGGCCTGGAAGAATCCCGTGTACCGTCGTCTCTATCTATTGCACGTTAATCGCCCGTGCCAAAAACCTAACCGACGGCAATGGGGAGGATAAACTTTCCGGATCGACCCTCCAGCGTCCATCCATCCGGGCGACGCCAGCGGTGCCGTAAAATCTCGTAGATCGGAACGGACAACCGTAATCGTACACCAAAGGCATCGATCAGAGGTGAAATTTCGATAACGGGGAAAAACAACACCGGTTGGACTTTTGTGATCGCCAATAAATGCGCGTCAGACAAGGAATTCGCTTCCGGTTTTCGATGCAAAGCTTGCCACGTATCGCGTTCAAGCGCCGCTGCATCCGAACAGTGGGGTTTCAGTTGCACCATTTTCAATGGTGATAATCCGACGTACCGAGGGCCTCGTTGCACGAACCGAACCAGCTTTGTCACCGGATAACCTAGACTCGCATTGCCAGCTCCGGTAGCGGCAGCGATAGACCCCTCTCTCCTCTTCCTCCACTTCCTCCTCTTCCTCCTCTTCCTCCTCCAGCTCCACCACCTACTCTTCCTCCTCCTCCTCCTCCTCCTCCTCCTGTTCCACCCCCTTTTGCCAACCCCTTTCATCCCCTTCGCCGAAACTACCTTCGAAAGCGACTGCCTGTGCGTAGTTGAACGCTACGGACGCGCAATACTCTCCCTTCTCTTGCTCTCTCTCTCTCTCCGCTGCGCACGATACACAAACTCGTGGTAATAGACGTTCCAGCGCGATTATAAATGAAACGCGTGACACGCGGGATCGAATTACTTCAACGATCAACGGATTCTCTGGCAGAACGATGGTTGCGCGCCGTGGGAAATCGAGAGCTGCGCGCTTCCGGCGTAACGAGCTGGTATTTGTTCCCGGTGCCATCGAAACGCCTATCATTATTCATGCGTTTCGCTGTTTCGCGTAACCAAAGAATCGTAAAAACCCGGGTTGAAGGAGATTTTCCTGTCACTTAGGGGTACACCGAATCGTCCGAGGTAACGATGCTTTTTTTCCCCCCTTTTTTTCCTTTGAAACGTTGCTTCCTGTTTGTCCGCGGCGTTAAACGGATGATATGCTCGGTGGCTGATAGACGACACTGCGATACAGGCGATCCTCCGTCATGACAATTTTACGGTTACACGTGTAACCCTTGTGTTACATCGACGCCACCGCGACGGAGCACGCGTACACTCAGGCTATGCACGGTAATCCGAGCCAAAAACTCTCCGAGTTTAATTGAACGCGATAACCGATACAAATTGAACATTGCGGTCGAATGGCAACAGGTTCGGTAAAGGGAGCGTAGCTAGACCAAAGATACCAAATAAAAGGTTATGATGATCCGGCCAAACGAAGGAAAAAAAAAAAAACACGTTCGTGGGTGATAGTTTTACGTTATTCGAGCTTAAAGCGAAAACGAAAATGGGAACGGTCGGGATCGATAAAATCGATAGCGAGTATCGAGTCGAGAGCCTCGAAAGACCATTCTGGAAAGCGATTTAGCGTCGCGTAGATTCGCGAGCTCCTCGGCGATGGATATTTCCGTTTCCGGCGAATCTCTGCGCGGCTTTTTTCTTTTAAATCCGTGAAATTGAACTGGATCGAAGCCTCGATGTCCGGGAATCTTTATACGAAACGTTAATCGATCGCGCAGTCCGTGAACGTGGCACATTTCACGCAGCCGGCACGGATTGTTCGCCGGCGGTGCTTTTGGCGCTGACAATACCGCAATGCACAGGTTGGCCTAATAAAACTATGATCGCCGGATAAAACAGTGCAGTGCATGCTGGTAATTAGCGGTATACATAAATCATTGGCAACGTAGCACGTAAATGCATACACACACGCCAACGTGTACTCGCGCCCACACCGTCACCCATTAC